TAAATTCCACCATGTTCACGCCTTATTATGATAGTAGTTTAGCCGTGGTTTTTTCTCTTTGGGCTGAGAATCCCATGTTCCTCTGTTTTGGTTATCATGTTCACGCCTTGTGTCATGCGTTCTACCCCCTTATACTCACTCTTTACTTCTTCTATCAATGGAATGATACGTAAGCTTTACGTATTCATGAAAAAATTAAAAAAATTTACAGCATCTGTTGGAGCGTCTCCTGCGCACGAAAAAAAATGATTTTTAGCCCGCGGAGCAGGTATGGGGCGCCTATTGAAGATGCTCTAGACCATGAAACCACTGCTACTCACTACAAAACAATTAAATTCCACCTGAGTTTTTTTTTTTGAAAGCCCACCTGAGCTAATTAGATACTGAATGGAACGAAATTTCAGGAGAAAGAGGGGGAACCGGTCCAGCAAAATAGCAAAAGGCAACGGACTGGTCGGAAAAAGAAAACAGAAAACAAAAGGAAGGAAAGAGGTGGGAGAAGGAGGAGGGAAGGAAGCAAATCAAATATACTAAACCGATCGAGAGGGCAACACGTAACCTCCGATCCGATACTTAACACGGGAGACCATCCTTCCATCGACCCGCCTCCTTTTGCCACGGCCCGCGCGCACCGGTCACACATGGCTGAGACCCCCCGTGCCCCGCCGCCACTGAGGCCTCCGCCGCCCGTTCCGCTGCCGGACACGCCGCCTCGCCCGGATTCGTCGCCTTCCACGCCCGGCGAGGATTACCACACGCCGACGCCCTCGCTGGACGAGGCGCGCGAAGAAACGCCACCGTGGTCGCAAGAAACCAACGGCAACGAGAGAGCGGCCAGCAAAAGCCCGGCCCTCTCGCCCGTGCGCCTCCCCTCGCCGCACCGCCTGCTGCCGCCCAACTCCCCCACCGGCAACGGCGATGACGGTGCCGCCGCCGGGCATGCGCCGGTGCCGGGCCGCCGCCCGCAGCTCCGCCTCGCGCCCGGCCTCGTCCGGACGCCGTCGGAAGGGTCCGTCGCCAAGTCTCCCTCGCCGTCGCCCTCTTCGTCGCTGACGTCGCCATCGCCTCTAACCCTGGCTCCCACAATCACAACCAACAGCAAGAGCGCCCAGAGCACGCCGAAGCGCACGGAGGCATGGAAGCCGCCGGCCACGGGGATCGCGGTGCAGTTCGACCCTGTCGAGGAAGCCGTCACGTCGCCGCTGCAACTGGGCAAGGCCCGAATCGACCGCCATCGCGCCACTACGATGGCGGCAGCAGAGAACGGAGGCGCGCCCAACACGGTGCCTCGCGACGTGGCGGCGGTGGCCGCTGTCGGGGAGAGGAGGCCACTGTCGGTGGCGCTGCGGCTGGCCACGGCAGTGCTCAGCCTGGCGTCCTTCGCGGTGATGGCCAGCGCCCGGACGTCCGGCTGGGACGGCGATCACTTCGATCGCTACGATCAGTACAGGTCAGTCATTTCACCTGCTTACAGTACATGATTCTTTCCCCCCTCCCTGCACTTAGTTCGGATATGTCCGGCCGGGTTTTGACGGTTAGAATGAGTTTTTTTATCTTCCTTTTAATTAACGAAGCAGTTACCTTGGAGTAACTATCTGGCCCCTTCAATTTCTGGTTAATTAGTTCGATACATCAACACGATAAAACAGTCTGCATTCCTTGATTCGAATTCAGAATTCACCTTGGATTTTATTTGTTGATGAAAAAAAAAAACAGAACGTGCCAATTACTCTTGGCATCCCTGGTATAGGTTCAGAACAACACCCAAATAAGCGAAGCTGGGCAATTGCTCAGCAACCGCTCCAGCACCACCGCAGTCCCTGAACCTGAATTCATTATCCTGGCTTTTGCAAGCAGAGTTCTTGGCTTCTTTCATCTTCTTGGGGGGGAAATAACCTCTGTTCTTCCCAATGGCATGTCATGTCAGGTACGCCCTGGCGATGAACGTGATCGTCTGCGCCTACTCAATCGCGCAATCGCTTGGTGAGATCCGCCGTCTGGTCGCGGCGAGGTTTATTTACAGGAGCATGTCAAGCTACTACGTCAGCCTGTTCCTTGATCAGGCAAGCGAAACGTTCACGCCCAACAATCGAGCTGCTCTTCCATTTCTTGCCTCATCATCGTCTTCCTGGCTCTGCTGCAGGTCCTGGCGTATCTCCTCATGTCGGCGTCCTCGGCTGCCGCGTCGCGCAACGATCTGTGGGTGTCGAGGTTCAGCCAGGACGCCTTCAACAGGAAGATCACCAGCTCCGTGTGGCTGTCCTTCCTTGCCTTCATAGCGCTCGCCGCAAGCTCGCTCATCTCCACGGCTAATCTCTTCAGCATGGTCTAATTATGATAGATACGGTTCATCCCTTTCCCTCTGGGGATGAGTAACTGCCGACGTTCTTCATGTAAATTTTGCATTTTATATTGCGAGAAATCATACGATCGACTTATACCGTACGTTGTTCTCGGTCCTGACCTCTGACTCGTCAGAAATCCCTTGTAAAGAGGTTCATATAGTGCTCTAATTAAGCTTTTCACTGTCAAGTAGAATAGTCATTGTGCTACTCCACTTGTACTACCCGAGTACTCCCTCTGTAAACTAATATAAGAGCTTTTAGTGATCTAAACGATCTTATATTAGTTTACAGAGGGAGTACTTGTCAGTAGTCACCGTGCACTCAATGGTGACAGAGGCTTACAACTTGAATGTACACATTTTTCTTTTTCATTCAAAACCGCCATCTTACATGTAAAATCTCAGTGCCATACAAATACATGGACATGATCTTTTTTCAGTTGTCAAGTTGAACATGGTTCACTCTGCTGAGCCAAATGGAGTGCAGGATCATGTGGAAGAGATCATACCTGAGGGGCCTGGCGTGCCACAAGAAGTGCCTTTGGAGCCGCTTGACGCAGTCGTGCATGGCCACGTACTTCCGGAGCGAGATCCCCTGCAGTATCCTCTTGAGGTCCGGTATGTCCTTCTCCGCCACCACCACTGAGAAGGCGCTCCAGTCGAACACGTCGCTGAAGGGGAGGACGAAGTTGTCGGCGATGATCACCGGCACGCACTCGTAGTACAGGGCCTCCACGATCCTGGGGCTGTTCACCTCGTACCCCATGGGGCAAAGGCAGAACCTGCTATTCTTCATGTGCTCGATGTAGTTCATCGTCCTGGACACCCTGCCGGGGAGGAGAGCGTACACCCTCATGTCCTCGTCCTGCCCCTTGCCCCAGTGCTGGAGGAGGACCGGCCTGACCCTGCCGTGCACGTTGCCGGCGAAGAAGGCGAGGATGTGCCGCCGGGAGATGGGGTGCCCACCGAGGTACCGGAGCGGCCGCTTGGGCGTCCTGATGGTCGTCTCCGGGAGAGACACGTCCTTCCCGGGCGTGAAGATCCCCTCCGAGCTGTCAGCGTTGCACAGCGCCTTGATGCTGTTCCTGGACAGGTCGCGGTGCGCCGTGGTCGTGTATGGTCCCTGCCAAGCAAATTCAGAATTACTCCAGTAAAATCGTACTGCGATACGAAAATGTTAGAATCATGTGATTACCCAATCGTGGCAGGCGACGAGGAAATGGTCGGCGCCTCTGGTGCGGTTCCAGAAGGGGTACTTGGCGGCGAGGCCCTTGACGAAATCTCTGAGGTAGACGGCCAGGGGGCGCAGGTTATGCGAGTCCGGCACGTAGAGCGAGAGCCTGAGATTCTGCGAGCTGTAGGGCAGGTAGAAGAGGTGCGCCTTGGTGGCGTCGGCGACGACGAACGGCCTGCTCTCCTCGAGGAGCTTCATGAACCAGCCCTCGGACGCGTAGATGCCGCTGAGGGGAGGGGTGTGGAAGATGGGCCGCCGACCGTCCTGGTAAATGTAAACTTTGAGTATCCGTTCCATCAGTTGGTAGCTCCTGGATGATGATCACATTTCGCTACAATTAAATTGATGATGCGTTTAGTCACTCACTGAATTATACTCCCTCTGTAAACTAATATAAGAGCGTTTAGATCACTAAAAGTGATCTAAACGCTCTTATATTAGTTTACAGAGGGAGTACATACTAAGGAAACGTAGAGATTATTAATGCTGAGCATGTATCTGCTAGTACGTACCTCTTGAACTGGGAGACGTTCTTGAAGAGAGGCGCGTACAGGTCGTCGGGGTCGTCGGGGACGACCGGCTCGGCGGCCATTATCTCCTTCTTGGCGTACCTCAGCGCCTCCTCTGGCGCCATCCTCCAATACGACGGCTGATCACCACGACACAGAACGAAAATAGACAACACCGTTACTTTGAATCTCCAACCTGCATGCGGGCACGTACATACCTCTCGTTTTCGGGGCCTCGCCGCGGACGTAGCTGGTTCTGCAGGCGGCGGGGACGGCGGTGGAGGTGACGCCGTAGCTAATGTTCGATGTGGTGGCGGCGGCGTGGAGCTCGCGGCGGACAATAATTCTGCCGTGTGCTTGGTGGTGGACACGCTGGGGGACAATGGCAGCGAGAAGGTGAGGAACGCGGTGGCCGCGGCGGCGACGAGGAGGGAGGCGAGGGCCGCGGCGCGACAGCAGGAGGCGGATATCATCGCGCCGCCATGGCGGGGACGCCGACCTCGCGATGAGGCCGGCGATTGTGCCGCGGTGGCGGCGAGGTGCGATGGCGGCATTAGGGGAATGTAACGGAGGGCATGGAGGGAAGTCAGGGATGGGCCCCTGCAGGAAATGGGAGGCAGAGAAACAAATTTATAGGGGCGAGACACCTCGAATTTAGCCGCAAAATCTGCATGCCAATTACAAACGCGCGCGCGCATGGAGTTAATTACCGTAAACCTTTTATTTTTATAGATCCTATCCTTGAAGGGAGTACTCTAGCAAAATTTACATGTGCTCCCCGAGGGGGGAGAGGGGCGGCAAAAGAACCAAAACCCAAAAGAACCAAATCCAGCTGGACTCCCAGAAACGCCGTTTCCGATGTGCACGGTGGTAGCAGCGGCAAATAGGTCTCTATCTGTCCTTCTGATCGCATGGAAGTTCATAACCAAACCATGGCCTGCTGGCGCTGACGAGGACAGCCATTGGCAGCGTAACCTTGCACTTCCCACCTGTCAACTGTGGCCCTCCTGTGCCCAAAGGAATCGCCTGCAAACTTTGTCCACGTCCCTGTAGAACCCCGCCGGCGCCTGAATTGCTGCGAGAGCGAAATTGGGCATCGTGCAGAGGACAGAACGCACCACTGCTCTACGCCCTGCGTGGTTCATCAGTCTGCCCTTCCAGCCAGCAAGCTTCGCTCTGATGCGATCAAACACGAACTGGAGGTGGACTTTCTTCAGGCGACCCAAGTAGGTAAGGGGGAAGCCTACTAATTTGCCCGCAGACTCCTTAAAAAAACCTCCTTAAGAACCGCTTGTAAATTGATGTTCTGACAGCGGATGGGTGCAACAGATGATTTGTCTGAGCTCATTTGCAGACCAGACGCCCCACCAAACAATTATGGCGTCATCAGCGTATAAACTGACACTGGATGTTAAAGCAGTTTATCGAGAGAGGAAAAAGAGAATGGTAGCCTGATTATATAAACCATCAAAACACACACACACACGCCATATCTCACATTAAGATTGTAGGGACAGGCACTAGAAAACACATGGGTCATTATCTCCTTAGGCGCCATCCTCCAAATCCAATACTAGCCTTACCTTCCTTCTGTACTGTACTAAAAATCTATCTAGGCGGTACCCAAAGGACTCACACGGAATGCAACCACAGCAACAGCCATGCATGCAGCTAAGCCTTTTTCGACCAAATATTTGCGACTGGCTAGCTAACCATTTCTGCACTACTTGACTTCAGGCATTCCACGTTTCAAAGCTTCCGCGGACGAAGTCATAGCGGGCACCAATCACATTCAGTGTGCCCTTGCTCAATCTATCCTTGACGAACGGATACGTCTTCAAATTTCCAAGCGACACATTGACGGCCTCCTGCATACACACCATTCAGAAATGCCAGATGAGCGCTTATCTAACTAGTACTATGGAACGTTAGTTAACTACTAGTACTACTAAAGATGAAAGGTGCCCCAAGGATAGCTCGTAAGTAGAGGGAAATCAGTGGTGCACAATTGGCCCACTATTCTGCTCAAGAGGAAATGAAGATGTTTTAAGCAATCGTACCTTTTCCAGCACGGTGCATTGGTCATCGAAAGGCAACAACCTGTTTTCTCTCTGCACCTTCTTCTTGGCCTCCATACCGATCTTCACCCAGTCCTCAATGAAGTGGCTAAGTAACGAAACAAACAGTGAGCTCAAATAAAACTTACTGAGAGGACAAACTAATACTGAAGCCATGTTTTAGTTCACTCCTCTTAAGACTTGTTTGGGTAGGATAGGATAGGATAGGGTCCATCCTTGCCCATCCAGTAATTCCTTATTTGGACCCCTTGTGTATATATGACTTTTTTCAGTACATAATAAGTATGCAAACATTTACTTACTACGTGTTAGGCCCTTCATCCTTCAGTGAGAGTAGTTCCCTAATTCCACCACAGCGGCTGTGACCAATCACAACAATGCACTCAACCTGCCAAATGGATGTCCATCAAGTCCTTTTGATGGAGAATATACCAATTTCCATAATTGGTAGTAAGCGCAAGTTTATGTCAGTTTATTGATTGCCCAAACTATCCAGGGTATCCCTTTCGACACTTTAAGTGAGTGCAATATAACTAACGGAGTTCTACAGACCATACCAACTCCAAACGATATACTATGATCTGAAGCAATACTTTTCCATATTAGAATCATTTGACACATGATTAAATTTATAAACTGTCCTGATGATACTTATGGCTGGGTAGAATGGCTATAGCCACACATTGATTCGAGAGTTGCTATGAGAGAACGTACATTTTTTATACCTTAACGAGAGAGATAACATTTTTTTTCCTCTAATGAGAGTTCTCATCTCTGAGCACATCACTTTCACGGTTTCACCTTCCTAGACTGGACCCAACAGAACACAAATGTTAAACAACATTTGCAATTGACAAGATATATGCCCGTGAAAAGAGAGCCTATTTCGCTTAAAGAGGAGCATACATATACCCATGGAGAGAGGCAAAATTCTTTATTTTATTGGATCACATCTAGGGAAAATTAGAGATGCTACATGAAACAAAAACTATCTCCTTTTTAAAATGGAAGGCACAAGGCATGACGAAGTCATTACCAGATTGACTAATTATCTAATTATCAATTTACCAACCAACCTTGCCACACTGGCATAAATAAACTAACCGCAAAATTGTATGAGACAGTTGTATTCCTGAATAAAAGTACACTTTCATGTATCAAGGATATTAAAAACCAGAAGGAAGAAGCAACCTTGAGGATAACCACGGCAAACTCGATGGCTGACCCGACGCTGCAGTGCCTTGTCTGCAATCAATATGCAAGTGCAGCTCAGTATACATCTCAAATAGACAAGCTAGAGTTACTAAATAGTCCACAATAATATAGAATGAAACATTGTACATAATGAATAACCTTTTTTTTTTTACCTTTTGATAGGCAGGAACCATTCCGGCAATATTTCGAACAGTGAAGGCCTCTCCTGGATTCAGCCCGAGGGTTATTGTTGGAGACACACGCGAGTCAGCACATGCAAACACCATGTACTGCAAGTAAGAATGAATTAAGAGTGTTGTCAGCAACAAGCACAAATGTATATCAGAAGCACATCAGCTGCCGCAAGTGTAACAATTGCTCGATTGCCCAGAGACGGTAAGTTGTTGCCATCAGGCACCCCTTCATGTAATTTAACCTTCAACCAAAACATAGGTACCGGCAAGTGAATCATGAAGGTCAGCCATACCCTGGGCCCAAACAGCAATCTTGAAAATGAGAAATTGCTACAGTGTTTTCTAGCAACTAAAATAATTGTCCTTCGTAGCCTATGTTTCTTATCATCCTGGTTTATGTAATATGTTTAGCTCCATGTACACTACCGCATTCTGGAAGGCTAGCCTAGGCAGGTAATTGCTGGGATATTAACATATCTCACTAATACATCCTTGGTTAAGGTTCCAAATTTACTGACAAACTTCACAAGTTGCAGAGCTAACGGAATGCTCGATGGAGACAACACTCAGTGGCCACTTTGAACAATAAAGTTTGTTTTTCTATCATTCATGCATGTATCAAGTATCAACCAGATGGCACATACCTTGGGGAACTGATCCTTCTTAAGCGATTCAAAAAGCTTCGGATTCTTGCTGCCAGGTGGCAATTGCCACCACAGAATAACAAAGTCAATTCAGCACAAATCCATATTGAACAAAGACACAATTCTTTGGGCTTCAAGACATACTTGTACACATTCGTTCTGAAACGCTCGAAGCCGGTCTTCAGGCGCACGACAGCGTTCATACCCTGCAAGAATATGACCAGCCAACGCACGACGATCAGAAGTCACCGGCAACCACGGTCGTACGCTTGATGCATCAAGCAGATCCAAGGAGCAAAAGAAGAGAGAGAGTTCGACCTTGTGAGCATGGGTGATCGCTCTGCGGTTGGGTGCATTGGGTTCTCCCTTGGGGGTTTGGAGGGGAAACAGCAGCAGCACCCACCCATCTTGGATCGTCTCCGCGTGGTTTACTAGAGGAGAAAGAGAGGAGGGGACTGAAGAACACCAAGGAATTGATGGAGATCCGCCGCCAGCTCGCCGCCCACCGGGAACGGAAGAGTTCGACAGATTTGCGAACGATGGAATTAAAACCCTTGCTCGTGGGATGACATGGATTCTATCTCTTCGTTTTTAGTACCAGATGCCTATCCGATTCTTGCTTTAATCTGATGGAGATTAACATCCATCAGATTTGAACGGGTTCGGATAAATTTCAAGACCAAACTTTTTGGGTCGCGCTAACTGCCACACGTGTGGCGTATACGACATGCGCCCACACACCATGTGTGGTGTACGCAGGAGGCAGCTCACACGGGTTGTGTGTGGGCGGACATTAGAATTGCCCACACGTGTGGGCGCCCTTATTTCGTGCCACACGTCCAACAAGTACTACTTATCTTCACCCCGTGTGTGTGGCACGAAGCAAAAATGCCCACACGTCCTAGCGCAGCTACATTAAGTACTCCGCGGGATGACGATTTAGTTGCCATCCTGGTTGGCAGATGTAGTTATCTGGTATGGCAACTGTAGTTATAAAAGCATGGCAACTCTATCTGTTTTGGTTAAATATAGTTGCCATGTCTAATTTATGATAGTTGCCGCGTGTAATCAAACCGTAGTTGCCGTGTGTGATTAGCTACTTGCCATATATGGTCAAAACAGTAGTTGCCATGTGTGTTTACCTAGTTGCCGCGTGTGGTCCAACCATAGTTGCCATGGATTGTTAATCACAGTTGCCATGTGTGTTTATCTGGTTGCCACGTGCGCGCAACTGCAGTTGCCGTGTAGCAAAGAATCACAGTTGTCATGTGTGTGTACCGAGTTGCCACGTTCGCGTAACTGCAGTTCAGTTGCCATATGTGTACCGAGTTGCCACGTTCGCATAACTGCAGTTGCCATCCACAAGGTAGGAGTGTCGTGTGGGTGAAAAGCAGTTCGCCCACACGCGCATGACCTAGGTGGTGGCTGTGTGGGTAAAAAGCAG